CACAAAACTGAAAAAATCAGAAAAAAACCGCCTAAAACACTTCATCTGGTAGAACCCCATGCTGAACCGCGCCAGTAGGTGCATAAGGCGCTGACACGCGTGACAGATGGAATCCCACTTGCTGATGTCGGGTCTTTCTCCTTATCACATAATTCCAACCGAAACGGAGAAAACCGTTAGCAGAACAATCGCACCACCAACATATCGCTAGAAATAAAATTTGGGCGTTGCCGCAGCTATTGGGCGGGGCCGTGGCTTTCAGCAAATCACACTTTCCTTACCTATTTTTGAGCATCGGAAGTAGTACTGCTTCAGCTTCGATGGCTCTCTATGTCCACCTCACCGGCAGATGCGTGTCGCTCGAACTTGGGGGCATATCAAATGCTTCACTGATGGAGTGGGGGAGGGGGGTGAAATTGAAGGACTGCAGGATCGGTGGCAACTGCTGACGCTAGAGAGGAAGGGATGGGCTTGGCGCGGTGCAAACTCGTTCTCCACCAATTGTTAAAGCGAGCAAGCGACTACGTTTGGTGGAAAACGAGCTGGCGCCGCCCTAGACCCGTCCCCACTTAACACGCCCCAGTGTTCGCAGCGAACAGGACTGCGGTTTCCAGCCCCGAGCAGTTCAAAAATATATTTCCCAAAAAAACACTCCTCTTGCATTAGTTGCTTTTTTGACTTCACTCTTTTACGTTACGGAGAACCGCCTGGCTCTCCCACTTGGGACCTCACGCCCCTTACTATCTCTTTCTACATTTATCGGTTGCAACGTACTAACGGAGGTCAGCTGTGAGAATGCCACGATCGGTGCCCCTGACCAGTACAAGAGAAGAGAATAGTGCGTTTCTAGCAGCGCATGTTTCTCAGGCAACTTAGGTTCCTTGATGTATTATTTTTCTGTTCTGAGAGCTACAGCCTTGAAGACAAATGGAGTATTTGAGGTTCAGCTAAGCCGAAACTAAGTTGCTGCTGCTTTCAGAGCATTTGGGAACATCCCGATTCCGCACCAGTCAAAGCGACTCAAAAAAACTGTGATGGAGCTCATCGGCATCACACCATCATAGTCGACCTTGATGGGGAAGTCAGTAACTGTAGTGGATTCTGGATGCTCATTAAAAAATTAACGAGGCGAGCGTGGTCTTGTCATGATGAGCTGGAATTTTTGGACGAATCGAAACTCTCTTCGAGCGTCTCAGCTGACCATAAGTCGGGTTTACGTCCTACAACTCTAGTCCGCGAGTCCGGGCATAATTTGCGGTAAGACACCCCGTAGTACTGTCAGTTTAATCAATCAGCTCCTTAGGCGATCAATACTATTTGCGATGCTTCGTTTGCCGCACTTCGCATGTGCTGAACTAGGTGTACGAGTCTTGGTGACATGTCATGAATTATTTCAACTTGGGTCCAGACGTTGGAGTCCTTTCCCCTCTCCTCCCCCCCCCCGACAACCGCTGCCTAAGACTACAGGCAAGAAGAAAGGGGGTGTGGCACTTTCGTCCACAGCCTCTTCTCCCATCAAGCCCTGCAGCAAAAAGGAGGTCAGAAACCCCCTACCCTAACCATTGTGATTTCTAATGTTCACTGTATTAGCTTTTTTCAGTTAGAGCCGGAAGCAACCGACCTTCAACCTCAAGACAGACCCACTTATGACCCGATATGTCTGAATTGCAATGTAACAAAGAAAGAGGTATGGACAGTCCTCGAAACATTCACTGAACACAGTTCAACTTCTAATATCTAGATACCATCCGATCATTTCCAACTCTACCTCCATTGTCTCAAATATTCCACAGAGAAATGGAGTTACAGTACACCGCTTCCTGAGTGGGCTATTCAACCGGAACCTTCGTAGTAGATGTCTTCGTGTCTTCATACAGTGCATGTTGTTATTTTGTTCCTTGCAATTGCAATGCAAGCAATTTCCTGAATTATAGTCGTTTTCGCTGCATGCGCTGGGCGTGTCAGCGGGCTGAGTCTAGAGCGACATTAGCCCGTTTTCCACCAGTTGTGGAAGCTGGCAAGCAACAATCCACCAATTATTGTTGCTTGCCAGCTCCCGCAATTGGTGGAGAATGGACTGGAGCGGCGC